TTCATGGAAATTATCTACCTGTTGTAGTGGTCTAATCTTCAAAGCCTTGGGAACACACTTCATAAAAGGGCGCGCCTATATAAAATTTACAGAAAGCTCTAAAAAGCTTTTTCCGCGGCTCATATTTTGCTGCGACTGATTTAAATGATAAGGCTCTTCTGAATATAAAAACATTATTAAGTTATATTTCGAGTTTAATATCGCCATATTTATCGACATCGATATATTTGTCATTGTAGATATTTCACCAAAATGATTATCGACGCAGATATATACGATTACATTAATATGTATTTATCGATAAACTCCTTGGTATCGAAATCGATATATTTTGGATATGTTTCTCTATTTTTAAATTTAATAATCTACACATGTATATATTTGTCGATAATTTTCGCGCTGCGCTGTAATCGATATCGCCACCGCTATGGTTATCGATATCAATTTTACTCGTCGTCGTTGTTGTTTACCGATTTGTAAGAATACTTTTAAAAAATATAAATATTTATCGGAAATCTTATCCCTTTGATCGCTTCCTGAAGAATATATTTGAAAATCTTGTGTTAAAATGTTAGCGATCGGTTGAGCCGTTTTTAAGAAATCGTGCTTACCGACTTTGAAGACAACATTTTGAGAAAAACGCGTTAAAGTTTCCCAACTTTACTTTCCAATACTCCCAACCCGTCCCAACTAATATGGGTGTATCTATATATATATTTGCAAATACTTACATATGTATGTAAGCGACATTTTTTTTCAAAATTTTATCTTTAATGGAGAAATGTTCCACAGCATCTAGATGCATTTTTACATTAAAAAAATAAAAATAAAATTAAAAAAAAATGTCGCTTACATCCGCTTAACTTTCTGTTCAATTATGCGGTAATTTTTAGGTCTTTCTTTATATTACACAAACAACGTCTCCCTTCCGTCTGCAGCCCCGTGAAATTTTTTCAACGTACCAGTTGTTCTTTCGAACTCGTTAAAATCCAAAATCTTCTTCGCTGGCAATGAGTTTAACAAGCAGGAGATCCGAAGCAGACGTATTTTGTTGTCTACTGGTTTAATCTCGGCTGATCACTAAGTATACGTATGTACATACAGACTTACAAAATTTCCGAAAATGTTAGAAATTTGATTCACCTCATTTCTAGTCACTTTTTTCGTAATTATTTTCAATTATCTTTACACGCGATACTCGTTACAACATGAAATGAAAATTAGAAATACAACTAAAATACCATCAATCTTCATAGCCAAAGAGGAAGGAAATTTCCAGCAGCGTCACTACTAGCATAATTTTAGATAAACTCATTCGGCAGAAGAATGCAGTGCAGCCGCGCCGTCATTGCTGCGAGCACACAAGCACTTGTTGCACACTACATGTTGCATGCAACGTACACGATGGCGACGGCCTAGGCTCTGCGCGCATGCGGCGGCTACACGCTTTCATCGCTGTTGTGCTTTATTATTATTACTTTTTTTTTTTTTGTTTCAATCATTTTTTCCAATAAGTACTTTGGCATCATTTTATTTCCACTTCTACTTTGATTGCATCGATATTGTTGTTGGAAATGTGTTGGCTTGTTTTTATTTTTATTGCTTTCTTGTGTGTTTTTACACACGCAACAGATGCTTCGATTACGAAAACCATTTGCGCTTTCGATCGATGAGTCTTTGAGGATGGTGACAAATGGGTCACACCGCTGTCTACTTGTCGACACTTAAAATGCTTTGTACAATAGAAAAAGTGTAAGTGCTTTTTTTTTTGTTCATATTCATGCAAACACTTGATGCATACAGCTTTTTTTCTTATTTCGCCTTTTGGAAAAAAAAACAGAAAGGTGCATACGCGCCATACTTCAGTACTACCCTCTAGGAAAGTGCACTACTAGGACAGTAAATAACTATATCTCGTTCTAGTTAATTAAACGAATAGTTAACGCTTTACTTTTCTAGGAGAAATGTAGTTTGGAGTAAACTTTTCTGAAATAAAACTGTTCTGTTCTGGTAATTATCAATGTTTTAATCGATATCTTTCTCAGTGTCGGCGAATTATTTATAGATTTCGTTATTCATAAAAATATTGTTTTTTTTTCTATTTCCGCATATTGCCATTCTTAAGGATATTTTAATCGCCAAAAATATGTATATGTACGTGTGTATGTACATTAGAGTGGTCAAATTTTTGTACGGGGGAAAAAAATTTCATATTTGCATTATCTATACCAACTTTCAATTTTCTACTGTAATCAATACAGGATGCTCAATGACCTTAAAATGCGTTACTGGATCGCTGCGAAACTGGCAAAAATATTGGTGATTTTTATAAAAAGCTACTGTTGCCATGACAACTGAAGCTGGTGATATTTTTTTAGATAATTTAAATTCGGAATGTCCTTAGGCTGCTTAACTATTTGTTTGATTAATATATGTGGGTCACACTACTTCTAGTTTAGTTTTTGAGTCTGAAAATTGTTGACCTGCGTTATCGATATCGTTACCAACATATTAATCGGTATACGTTTGTCGATGTCAATACCTTGGACGTATTTGTCGACATCGTTATCGATAAAAGAATATTGTTTTTGTCTGTATTGGTATCGGTATATTTTTCTGTCTTATTATCGATATATTTTTATATTTATCGATACATTCATAGTAATAAAACCCGATATTTATCAATATTATTATCGAGATGTACCCTCATATATTGCCTTTAAAATTTTATTTATCGTTATCATAATCGATATACGTTTGTATGTATGAATCAATATTGATAGATATCGTCACTAGACACGAATAAAGGCGCGAGCTCAAAAGTTAATTAACATATCGTCACTACACACGAATAAAGGCGCGCTAGTGTTTTGACGGCGAAAAAAGACGCATAAAAAAACTTCAGCGTCAAAGACTCTTAACATACTTCGCCGAAGTTGTTCATAAGCATCTTTTTTCGCAAAATTTTTTTACGCGCTTTTTTTCGCCGTCAAAACACTAGCGCGCCTTTATTCGTGTGTAGTGACGATATGTTAATTAACGATATCTTACTGATATATTAATCGATATACACACATATATCTTTGTCAATATCGTCGACTTATTTATCGATACTACCATCGAATAAATTAATTTTTTGAGTTGCCTCCGATACATTTTTTATTAAGCTGAGATATTAGTAGACTTTTCTGTTGCAGACTTGGTTATTTTTATTCAGTCGAATAATTACCTAATAATGGCAACGTCAATTGAATACTTTCAGTGTTGGAATCACAGTAACATTGCATTAGATAGCTCACCTGTCTATTGTTTATTTTATATGACATCGGTAAGTTTAAACATCATCCTTTCTTATTAGTTCGTCACCAGTACTGAGTGTACAGTACATTTTTATCCTAGTCGAGCTTGTAACTCCTGTCCTGTTATGCTTGTATGCTCTTAGTCGAGTCATAAAGTTCGTTGAACCAAACACTTATGTTTAAGCGTTTTGAGTTTTTCCTGCAGTGTGTGTGTGTGTTTCTACGCAATTTGCTCTCACTTGTAAATATTTTAGTATAATTTTCTGTTATTACCACATGTTTTGCTTGCCATTGTATTCTACAGTTGCGCGCTAGTGTTTTGCCACAGTTACAGCTGTAGACGTCATTGAATCACGTCTGCTCACAAAGTTCAAGAGTTTATGTTATTGCGGTTTCTTAGTCGACAGTGGTGCAATACCGCCAAACCGGAGAATATCGAGGTTTTCTCAAAGTCGGTAGGGTTCCGAAGCTTAGTCTTCTCTTCCCACTATTATTAAATTTTTATATATCGAAACATCCCTAACCCCTCCCCCTCCATCTCAGTGCATTTCCTTGATCTTATACGCCACTGATCGTTAAATTTTGGCGGCGGACAATGACATTGATGACTTATGTTTCAAATTGAGTTCTTAACACTTTTCCCTGCAAAACCAACCACGACCTGTTTTATGGCATGGACGAAAGAAGTCAAACTGAATTTAGGCATACGGGTCGACGATACTACAATACCAACCGCGAATAACCAAAAACTGGTCGCGGTTAACTTTGACAGCTTGCTATTTTCCGTTATCGTAAGCGTCAGTAAAGTCCTTGCTAACAGCACTTGAGGCAAAGAGATTGGTCCGCCGGTTATAAAATAATGCTGCGTCTGTGTGATCACTGGCCACTTGTAGGTCGAAGTAAACGAAGTTGCAGACCTGTCGCACGGTCTGAGCATCACTTACATACCGAGGCCGAAATGAACTCACAGTTCCTATCGAGATGTTACCGCAGTAGCCACACCTGCAGGCACTTGCTCAAAGTCGCTGCTTTATCGCTCGTTAGAAGCCATTTAATGTATATCAAGGGCCAGGTTCGGCCCTACGCACGTTATCCGCTAAGTTTGACGGACTATAGGCAAGCTTTGGATGGCATTTATCGATAGTCAATTAACCGCTTCGTCAAATCTCGCGCCATGAATGACGTCATCGGAGACCAACACCTTTTGCCGACGAAGAGTTTGAACTGACTCTTACGACTCGCGCGTTTATTGTCACAGCTTGGTTCTGGATATTGTAGCTGGTTGAGCTGCTTCTTATCCAAAATCAACGTCGACATGCCCAATTTAACACCCCTTTCCCTATGGCTTATCTCGTCGGAGAAGCCCACATGCTGGGCTTATCGTTAAAAGATTTTGGCGACAACACTTGGTGGATTCACTGATCTAGGTAGAGCTTGGTAAGCTGCTCCAATAGCAACAAGTCTACGTTATTACTAATGACTTTCGCCATAGATTAGTCAAACATGTATTGCTTACAAACGTCTTTTTGGAAATATCTTTACATCCAACGCATCTTTCTCTCAGCTTGTGAAAATTGTTGTGGGACATATGAACCAGGAGAACCTCTTGTTAGCACTATATTTGTCTTTGTGCCTATTTGTTTTTAAATCAATTACCAAAATATTAATAGCTGTGATTTTTTTCTTTCGCTTTCTTTGCAGAATCCCAATCTCCCCGCCAATGCCTCACCTTTCCGCCGGGCTTGGGGTCAGTCGTCCTTTCGCACGCCACGCACCGATAAGCACGCCCACCACCAGCAGCAACAGCTGCAATTGCAACAACAATCCGGCCCGCATCAGCATCTCAGTCCATTAGTGCGTCGCGCCTCATCGATGACTGCCTCCGACAATGATGTCTACATCAAGTCCATGCATCACGGCGGCTACCATGATGAGCTCAAACAAGCGCGTAGCCAACATCAGTTGGCTACAGCAGCGGCCGCTTTGGTGGCTGCGAGAAATGCCGATTATTCGGCGGGATCTATGGCAGCACCACAATTGGCGACGACAAACGCCACGTGTAGTAACAATAACAACAATGGAGACAGCAATGGCATTGGACAGCTGAAATTGTCACAGCTCAAGACCACACTTGCGCCTCCGCCCACAGATAATGGTGGCGTTGGCGGCGTGGCCGGCTGGGGTACAGCCTTTGAACGGTTGCTGGACGATCCCGCAGGCATGCACACTTTCGCCGAATTTCTGAAGAAGGAATTCTCTGCAGAGAATATCTACTTTTGGACCGCTTGCGAGCGCTTTCGTGCGCTGGAGAGCGCCGCTGAGCGTGCAACGCAAGCGCAGGCAATTTTCTCGAAACATCTGGCTAATGGCGCTTTGGAGCCAGTAAACGTCGACTCGCACGCGCGTAGTTTGACACAAGAGAAATTGCAGAGCGCAGAGCCGGATATTTTTGCGCCGGCACAGAAGCAAATTTTCAATTTAATGAAATTCGACAGCTATCAGCGTTTCATACGTTCCGACATGTATAAGAGTTGCCTAGAGGCGGAGGAGAAGCGCCAGCCATTGCCGTACAAGGCGGACGATTTAGATGAATTGCTAAGAACGCCGGTGCATCAGCAGATAGTCGCTGCAATAGGCAGCGCTGCGTCGAAGGTTAGTAAGCAAACTTTAATTTCGCAAAACACTGGAGTTGTCAAGTGCCAATTTTTATTTTGATTATTATTATTTTTCCCCCAGCTGAAGAAGTCCGCCAGCAATGCAGAGGACCGCTGCCGCAAGAGTTTGTTGCCTTGGCATCGCAAAACGAGCAACAACAAAGCACCACGTGATGTTGCCGATGCAGGCGCTGAAGCGAAAAGCTCAAGTAATAAGCATGCAGCACTTTCCAGTCACTCACTCAAATTGGCGCACACGCAGAATTCACAAAGCGACATACATAGCTCACGTTCGTCGCTCTCTTCCTTCGATGGACTGCCTGGCGCGTCTATACTGCCAGGCACGTGTCGCGTCATCTTGAGTGATGCCTCCACAACAATGGTGCAAATGCGCCCCAACGAAACCGTTGGTCAGCTAGTGGAACGTTTACTGGAGAAGCGTGGCCTTAGCTATCAATATTACGATGTAGTGGCCAAGGGTACTACCAAATCGATTGATTTGCAAACTTCATCACAGACACTCGTTGGCAAGGATGTGCTCATAGAGCAGCGTGTCGCTTTCAAGCTGGATTTGCCCGATCGCAAAGTGATATCTGTGAAAAGCAAACCCAAGAAACAGTTGCACGAAGTTGTGCGTCCCATTTTGCATAAATACAACTACGATTTCGAGGCGGTACAGGTGGTGTTGCGCGAAACGCAGGAGCCAGTCGACCTGTCGCTCACTGTGACTTACGCTGATGGGCAGCGGCTGCAGGCTGTATGGTTGAAGCCACCGCCATTACTGCTTAGCAGCGACTATCAAAATGGCAATGGATACGCGGCCAAGGTGGCAAAGGCTTCGGCTTCGACAAAGAGCGTATCCTTTCCCAGCAGCGTGAAGCAAGCGAATGGTGGCGGCAGTGTACGCAATGCCACCAATGGTAATGGTATAGTTGTGGGCTCGCTTTCGTCACATCCAAATCAGAGCGCCTTGGATGAGCTGACCAACAAAGTGTTCACCGAGCTGATGCAGGTCAAAGTAGAAGCCGCGAGCGCCGAAAAGCAACCGCAATTGGTAGCAATCAACAGCAAAGCGAATGATCTCGCTTCGCTTAAGGTGAGTTTGCTAGAAAATGATCTTTATTTGCTATAAGAGAAAATTTGATTTTAATATTGAACGCAGCGATAGTGTTATCGATAAATTTATCGATTGCTATACCGATGTGCGCATGTATCGATCATGTTAGGTATCGAAAATGTTGTCGAAAATCCGACGCTAACTATGCCGACATAACTACATCGATTTTATTCGATATCGATAATATTATCGATAAATATCTGTGTATGATGTGTGGATAACGATAAATTTATCGATAATATCGTAGCAATAATACCCTAAATAACAGCTAATGTAGACATCTAGTTTCAAGTCAAGTCCTCATAGGTTTAATTTTTTTTTTTTCGTTTTTAAATTAAGTCCGATGACTGTGCCTCAGAAACTTCATCAATTTTTGAGCGCATACGTCGACGCGATGCCAATATTGCTGGCCTCAAGCTGAAGCTAAAAAAACGATCCACAAGCAGTCAACATTCCGAGGAGACGAATCAAAGCAGTCATACAACAGCTAGCAATGGACAACTAGCCGCGCCTACAGTGTCCACTGCAGCGTTGGATTTAAAAAAACCGATTATTGCAAAACTAAAAGCGGGGGTAAAACTGCAAATGCCCGAGCGAGTAGCTGAAAATCAAGGTAAGCATAACTAATAGTGGTTTACAGTTATGCCTGATGGCCTGGCACACATTCTTCTCCCTAAGTGGGCTAGCACTTTTTCCCCAGCAGTTCGGGAATAATATTTTTTTTTTCATTTCCCCGTTTTCACAGATGAACTACTCGAAGGCCTAAAGCGTGCCCAGCTCGCACGGCTAGAAGATCAACGCGGCACCGAAATTAATTTTGAACTGCCAGACTTTTTAAAAAATAAAGAAAATCTCAACGCTTCGAAATTGCGTAAAGCGCGCGCTAATCTCAGTCCTATCAACAAGCCCTACACAGCTACTGCGGCCACTACTTCACCCATGCATGCCAGCCTCACCACTACCAGCGTCTCCACCGCCTCAGCAGGCACCGAGGAGCTACCCTCACCGCAGCTTGAACGTCCACAACCCGCGCCACGTCTTTCCATAACCAACAAGTTGAAAGGAAACACACCTCTCGCGTCTGCTCTGAAGCCAGAGGAGGAGTCAGCAGCACCGACCACCACCAATTTACTTGAAGGACATCAATCGCAGCCAACCACACCGCAACCAAATACTTCGAGCTCATCGCTAGAAGCTGAGTATGCAGCGGTAGCGGGTAGTTGCAAGGGACCACCCCCCTTGCCGCCCAAACCCAAAGTGTTGCCCATCAAGCCATCGAATTGGGGTGCTGCTTCTGCTGCTGCTGCCAACCTGTCTGCCTCGTCCACGACAACATCGCCCACGACTCCCTCAAAGACATTGCCGTCGTTGTTGCCGGTGGCTGCACCTAAAAACTACACCACTGTCGGGTTGTCTAAGGGCATTACCACAATGGTGGAAGATGCTCCAAAGCTGCTGCATGTCGCCAACAAACATTGCTTATCGAATGAAATTGTGCCGCGTAAAACGCATTTGAGTTTAGCAGCTGAGCAGCCAACATCATCACGTTGTGCCTATCTCGAGGAGCCGAGTAGTAGCTTTGTTTGAACGGGGAGAGAGATATAAATAGACATATATGTATGTATATAGTAAAATGAGGGAGGGTGTGTAAGGGTTATAAGATGGCTTGCATTTTCCAATTCCATTCTCCTAATAGCCAAAATTATTATAATATTCAATATCCACGCCTAAGTGATAAACATTATATACGTATTTGCAAATGTTTGTACTATGTCCATAATGAACCCCTGCTATTTATTCGCATATTTCATTTTCAATTCATCGATATTATTAAGTTATCATTTTATCTATGTAATTGAATGTAAATATTTGTATGGCTTATATATTATTTATAAATTTATGCATACATAATAATACATAAACTTACACACATATGTGTGTACAAATTTTGGATGTTAGCAAAAAGAAATTTTTCAATAGCAGTTAATGTAATCATTTTAATCGACGAATGTTTCATATCTTAGGATTCAATTGTATTTCATGCAATGACAGTCATAAGCCTTAATTTTTATTACTATACTAAATATGTATTTGGGAAACATCGAAATTTTAGATAATAAAGTAATTTTATACATTAAATGCTAATATGTATATGTATATGTTTTGACCTTTGATTGGCAAGGGTTTTTGAAAGTCAAATAATAAACAAAACTCTGTGGTAGTACATTCAATTATTCTATTAAGAATTCGTAATTGCTTGATTCGTTAAGCATGTCAGCATTTTCCCCGCGGTTTTTGATTGGAACTTAACCTCAAAAGAAACTTAAAAAAAATCAAAAAAAAAAAAATATCGCATCAAAAGGATTGAACCAGGGCTCGAATCGTAACATCCGTTCACGGACCGAAAACGATACGAAAGAAAATTACGTGATACGTCGGGCAGTATAAACTAAATGGGACAAAGAGTACGTTCACGTATGTCATAATCCGAGAAATGTGTTTTTACGTGACGAGTAGTACGATATCGTATGTGACGATTCGAGCCCAGTTTTGGCAAGGGTAGTGTAAAATTCGAAGAAATTCAGAAAAAATTTCAAATAATTGCCTGGAGGAAAAATCAGAGCATATTCGGAGACCTATTATTATTAAACAATTTATGGAATTTCTTGTGCTGTAATTCATTTTTGTTGATCAGCGACTCTTTACTAGATCAAAGTTAGTGCTCATTTGCTGCGAAGAATACTTAATCAAGGCGTAGGTAGGTAGGTGGGTTACATTAATTCTATACGCATGCACAAACATATTTGTATAAGAAATGTTTGTATGTTTATTTATTTTGATTCTTTTTTTCGGGCTCTGAAGCAAGGAGGAGGGAACCAATGTGTTTAAATGGCAGGGAACTAAGCTCTCGTATAGCCAGGTTATTCCTCTAATTTAATAATTTTATAATTATTCGTCAGATTATATTTGTTAAAATATAACTTTTTACAATTTTAGATAAAATTTATTTCTATAAAAAAATTTCTTTATTTAATTTCTTGGGACAGTTATTTTAAAGATTTTTTTATTTCACAGTTAATTTGTTCATACGATAGTGCCGTTTCAATGGTACGCATTTAATATTTTCATTTAATTGCAATTTTTTTATTCTTTATATCAACGTGTATTACTTTACATATGTAATTTTATTTTATAGATATTTGGCCTTATTCATAAAAAATAAAGTAGCTTTATAAAAGGTGTATAAATTGAAAAATGTACGAAAACGTCTATTTATAAAGCTCTTTAAACCTACTTTATTTTTTATGAATAAGGGCAATTATCTTCAGTTTATTCAAACTTAATATTTTAATGAAACGACTTAATTTTTTATAATTATTTCAATATAATTTTTTGCGTTTAATCACGAACGATTTTATTACTTTTCTTTTCTTTTGCGAATAACGATTACTGGAACCTCATGGCCGAGGAGCCATTTTGCGACTCGAATATTTTGATTCTATATAATTTTTTGGCGTTATATGAAAACAATTGGTAGCGCCTAAATGTATGCTACGTTTTTACACAACTTACTACATATTTATATTCTGTATCAGTGGCAAATTCTTGTGTTGGCAGGTGATGCATTGCAGTGTAATCGTTAGATTTCAATAAGGTTTAATTGCAAATGAAATCAATTCATTAACATTTCAGTATTTGTATGAACTTTTATTTGCCTGTTCGATAATTCAACATTTTTATTCTAAGGCCTGCCAGCAAATAGTATAATCAAATGGACGGACTTTGCGGCGTCGTCGTCGCCTTTGCCTTGCTTTCACTACCCGCCTCCACAGCTGACACCGTTGCCGATGCTGCCGCAATCTGCGCCGGCTGCTGTTGTGTTTGTTGCTCTGCACCACTTTCTAATTTCTTGTCACCTTCGGGTAACAGTTCTATTGCTTCTTCTGGCTCTTCAATTACTTGATAAGTAATTGGTGCTGGCTCCTTTGGTGGCAACCAGTCAGGTATGATTTTAGCGTGCAGACGCCATTTCCCATATTCATTGGAGATATGCTTTTCGAAAACCACATATTCGAGCACATCTTTAGCTACAATCTCACTGCCATGCATTAAGCGTCCAAAGCGATCGTAAATTGCCAACAATTGTTGTGTGTGAAACCGCACAGTAACTTGCGCATATAAATTTTCTTTGCTTATGATATCCGTCACACGTGCGTGTACGACGCGTGGCGGTTCCAATGATTGTATGAAGCTCCAGTGTATGGTCTTATCACGCACATTGTGCATCATTTCGGGATAACAGCGCTCCGTTACAAATTCACGCAATTCATGTTTATTTTTCGCTGCCATTTGAGTGTGCGCTGCAATATAGATGTCCTGAGACTGACTGGTAAAGTCACTGGTGCTAAAATCTTCATCGTATGAACGTATTTTACGCACGGCCATAACACTTTTTGATTTCTTCTCGAGAAATTCGATCTTTTGTTTGGCACCCGCTGAGGAAATGAATGACTTTTTGCCATCACCCTCTGGCGGCACATAAGCTTCGAAAATACCTCCGGTGCAACTTATATGGAATGGACGCTCCAACCAGGGTCGTGGTGGCAGCACACCACGTTCTTTCAATCGACTCCGTATTTCGTCCTGCGTCAGATCGCCAGGTTTCTCCTGGAAGTTGGGTAATTCCACCTTGACGAATTTTTGGGCACGTAGCTTCTTGAATTTCGGATTCCAGTGTTTAGTTTGGCGGTGACGCAATTGTTGGGCCTGTAATTGCAACAGCGCTTGCATGGCTGGGGGCTGCGCTAGCTTTAGGTGGAGGAAAAAGAAATAGATGGGCGATTACATTGGGGTTATGGTGCAATATTTTGGTGAATGACTTGAAGTAATCGATATTTACCTGTAGCATTTTAATGCCACAACGTGCTGAGGCTGCAAGTTCCATTGTATGTGATATTAGTGTCTTTCTTTTTAAGAAAACGCAGGAATTATAGGCCAATTATTACTTTTACACAACCTTTTCGATCGGAATTCACATTTGGGGATATTAGAGGTGGGTAACTCAACTCAGAGTTGAGTTATTGAGTTGATTCCCATAAGTGGATCCGTCACTCAGACTCCCTGTCCAAAAAAATGTAACTCAGTAACTCATTTGATGCCCTAGGGCTCACATGATTCAATTGAATCATAGTGGCTCACATTTGTCCATATAACTCTCTCACTTCGCCACAGTGTTTAGCATGGCAAGGTCTTGCATTTTGTTTTTGCACGAGGCGAATTTATACAAGCTGGTGGCAAGAATACAACAACAACAACCACATATATTTTGTATTGCGGGTGTTATGTCAAATCTCAAAAATTCTTATAATTTCGTTTTTTTTAGTTTTTCTCGAAATATGTATGAATGTAAGATATATAAAGATGTGCATATCAAATCAATTGCCTTTCCAACCATATCCACATTTTGAAATTCGGTACAATAGTTTTCAAAAATGTATAAGATTTTGAAAATATTGAAAATTCCACCTTTACCCTCCCCTAGCAAGCCCCTATCAATTTGCACAAAAAAAAAATTACACCTTTCAAATCAGTAGAAAGGAGCTGACCACGCCCACTTTAAAGTTTTGTTTTATCTCAACGGCCGCTATACCACATTTATGCCTCAAAACGAGTCTACGTTACGAATGAGTGTTAGATACAACAAAGTCAAATGAGTTAGTTGAATGAGCTGACTCCTTAAAGTTAATTGCAGTCATTGAGTCAACTCCTATAAATTTGCTGAGTTACCCACCTTTAGTCAATATTACAAAATGTCAAAATCAGCTTATTGAACTAGTGCCGTGTGTTTCTGATTCGGTTATAAATCAAGATTGACCCCATGGGTGGCGAATGTAGCTGATATCAAATATGATTGAATATTTTTTAATTTGATATGAAAGGGATATCTATATGTTATAACAGTGTGACACATCAAAAAGATTTTGATAAACATTTTCCAAAGTTTAATAATCTATCGCCGATCGGTAGACGGTTACTTTTCCATTGAAATTCACCTGTGTTCCAGGAATATTTAAAAACAATTGTGAATTCCAATGAACTGTGAATGCAATATCAAGAAGCAGCATAATTATTGATTTGTATTCACAATCTTTAATTCAAGTACGCAGCAGTGAAATTTGTGGTGCTCCAGGAAAATGTAGAAAATTTCGGTCATTCAATAAACGGATTAATAAAATATTTACTAAAACTAAAAAACGATTGTCGGTAGTTCTTTTTGCAAATAAATTTAATATCGCGAATCATGGATTTTCCACAGCAATTGGAAGGTAAAAATCAAGTCTTTAGACAAGGCGATGAAAGTATCGACTTGAATGAAAAAGTGGGTGGATAGTGGCAGCGGGTGGTATCGGGCAAACAATGCAGCAACAATAATTCATGCTAAGCATTGCAGTGGAGTGAATGTAGCTTATGATTCTATGGAGTGGGTATACAATTCCGATTGAAACGCCTTTGTTATCTCCTCAGCACCACTCGCTGCCGGTGTGATGCAAGCTGGAATATTGATTTTTCGGAAAAATGCATCTGCAAATGCAAATTCGCATGCAATTGAAATATGTTTACTTTGACCTAATATTTCTGTTTTTCTATTATTTAAGATCATGTAAAGCAACAATAATTGGCCCGAATTGGATAGCAGTTTTCTAAAATCTAAATAAATTCAAAAATATTCTATCATAAATTCCTGCATATAAAGTGGATATACCTACCTACAAAATACTCTAACGTGTATAAATTTTTCATACATATACATATCTACATAACTATCTTCAACTATATACAGAAATTTTAGTGGAGCGGCCACCATCCTCCTTTGATGTTATAATGGAATCACCATTGTGTGCTGCCAATAGCGTTGACCGGAAAGGGATCGCTTACAAAGCAGGCAACAAGTTTGAAACCACTTCTGTGTTAGACAAAATGAATACCAGTATAAATAGCACATTGGAGGATACGACACCAAGTGACTCTGGTGTACAGATGCTGGACTCGGAATCAAGCGAATTTATGGTAGAATCCATCACTTCACAGACAGGTTTCGAATTTGAAGAATTAAAATCATATGCACAAGAACGCGCTGATAGTAATGAACAGGTGGCTGTCGTGGCAGGGCCACCGTCAGCAGTGGAAGAACGTCATTTCGTTAGTGCGGCATTCGAAGAGATTGTAGCTGGTGTGGATACTAATTCTAATGTAACTACAATAGACTCGACAAACGATAACTCCCCTAATAACGTCCCCATCGAAGAAGCAATGACCACGAGCACTTGTTCT